CGGCGACCGCCGCACGATTTCTGCATGGGGCTACGGGACGAGAAATTAGAGAAATAGAAATTGTCTGGGTACCAGCACACTCTGGGAACCCTGAGAACGAGGCGGCTCACCTGAATGCTCGAGGTTTCGTCAGCCGGGTAGGTGAGCCACCAGTTCTGAAGAGGTCCGCGAGAGATGGGCTGGTGTCCTTTCATGACATAACGAATCATTATAAACTAGAGCGGAGGTTTTATCCGCCCCCACACAAGCGGTTGACTAAGGTGCCGGAATGCGTCTGGAGAAAACTGCAGACGTGATCTTTTCCCAACCCTTACGTGTTGAACGAAATATACCCGGAGGAGATTAAGCCGCAATGCGAATGGTGTGAGGCTGTGGCAACATATGATCACATACTTTGGGAATGTAGCATAGTGCCGCCGCCGGTAAATATTATGCGTGATCCCTCTCTTGAGCACTGGGAGGCCGTGTTGACCAGCTCAGACCCAGTCGTCCAGTTAAGGGTCATGGAGTGGGCCACACAGGTCGCCGCCAACCTTGGGTTGATGGTCATCTAACACGGAATCATCCTCAGTTGCTTTCTGACGAAATAAAGTTTTTCCATCCATTCTCTTCAACATCGGCATGAGACGCTTAGCAAGAAGACTAGACGGCGTTTTATGGCTTGTATACGCGTTCTATGCGGATGACATTACCCTATGGGCTAACAGTGGCTCATTGGGACAAAAAGAACAAATCCTACAAGACACAGTGACCGCTGTTGACGACTTCACTTATCAAAGCGGAATGAGCTGTGCTTCCGATAAATGTGAATTTATTAGAATCCGAGGCAGCAGGCCGCCACTATTCACGAGCAGGACAACCTCTTTCTAGGAGACCACAAAATAAAAGAGGTACAGAAATTGCGAGTTCTCGGACTGTGGCTACAAAGCAACAAGCGATTGGACCACACAATCAAAACTCTCAGAGCAACAATGAAGCAGATCTCCCGTGGGATTTATAAAGTGACCTATCACCGAACAGGTTTCAAGGAAGCTGAGATGCTCCGGCTAAGTTCAGGCTTTTGTCCTCAAGCGGCTAACATATGCGGCATTTCAAGTGACGGCAGGAGTATTTTCCTAGCATGAGTATTTTCGAAAAAAATTATTTTCGCATTCCATTGATATTTAAATATACTTCTAGGTTATGGCGTTCAATCAGAACTGTTCTGGCAATTATGTTTGTTTTATAGACGCCGCTTATCACAGGGCGGCTTTCTGTTCTCCTATAGCAGAATACGTCGTACTGTAAATCGTTAACTTATTCTACACCAACTTATACTCTGCCTTTCCAGGAGGTCAATCAAACTGATTTAAAGGCCCTAGAGTTGTTGATATCTCATGAATGTCATGATTTACGATTCATGGTCCTGCAGCTCTTGCGGTGGTTTCGTTCACACGGCATGTTGAAAAACTGGTATGGTATGATATGATTGCATGGCGAACACAAGCGACAGACCCTAACATGAAAATCATGACATGCTTGTCATGTAACAAATTGACTACATGCCACGCTGATGATGCGCTCGCGGCTGTTTCACTAGCGTCACGTATACCGAACTTGTCAATACGGTACGTGATTAGAAGACAAAAGTATGTGACTGGTGCGAACATGATAATCATGAGATGCATGTCATGTAACAACACGACTATATGCCACGCTCATGATGCACTGGCGGCCGTTTCGCTAGCGTCACGTATACCAAATTGGTATTACGGTACATGAATGCATGACGAAGGTATGGGACTGGTGCAAACATGATAATCATAAGTGGCGTCTCATGTAACAACATGACTGCATGCTGCGCTCATGATGTGCTCGTTACCGTTGCGCTAGCTTCACGTGTACAAAACTCGGTATTATGCGACGTGAACGGATGACATTGGTGAATAACACATCTAAACATGATAACCACGACATGCGTGTCATGTAACAACATGACAACATACCACGCTCATAGCGTGCTTGCAGCCTTTTCGCTAGCCTATATATGCCAAATTTGGTATTACGTGACGCCAATGGATGATGAAGGCATGCGACTGGTGCGAAAATGATAATCATCAGATGCGTGTCATGTGAGAACATGACTGCATGCCACAGTCAAAACGCCAATACATTTAGACATGACGCGGTGCACGCGCTCGCCGGCGTTCACTTCGACGCGTCACGCCGGCGTTGCAACGCCATGCGCCGGTCCTGCCATATACTCGCAGGCACACGCCGCACTGCGTTGCTGTGACGCATGCGCTGTTTCAGTTCGTCCAGCGTACCTAGGTCACCGAAAGAGGGAGACGCAGTGATAGCTGGGTAGTGCATCGGCGCGAAATGCAGCATGTCGCATTTCGCGCCGGTTGCCGTCGGGCCACGCCGACGGACGCTGGTCGCACCTGGCGTCAGACTATAGAGTGCTCGCATTTTGCTAACGTAGCGTTGCTGTTCCAACCGTGCACGCACGTCAACGCTACCTGGAGTGTAATGGGCCCTTCATGATGCACTCGTGGCTGTTCTGCTAGCTCAACATATATCAAATTTGGCGTTACGTAACGTTAATGGATGCCGAAAATATGACTGGTGCAAACATGATAACCCTGACACGAGTGTTATGTAGGAACATGACAACATACCATGCTCATAGCGTGCTCGCAGCCGTTTCACTAGCTCCGCATATACTAAATTTGGTATCACGGGACGTGAATAGATGACGTAGGTAAACGACACATCCAAACATGATAATCATGAGACGGAAATCATGTACGGCATCATGTACCTGCACCTCGTAACGTTGTGCTGATTTTAAAGTGACATATCAACATTTCTCATTCGTGCTTCGCATATCGTCAATTCCCACTGTACGTGCACTGTAAGCAAAAACTATCCGAGTTTGGGGTTTTTCCGGCTTATGACCTCTGAAAACTCTCTCGCGTTTAAAATACTACCTCGTGTAGGAGTAAAAGATGGTACATGACATAGTTTTACCACCACCTCTCAGGCAAGTAGTAAAAGGATGTCAAAATCCAGTTTTACCACGTAGGGAGTTTTCTATCACGTGATTTTTCACCTGCGTTTCAGAGTTTATTACCACGTGACTGCAAGGTGCAGCTGCTTCGGCGGCTTTTGCCCCATACCCCCCTTGTGACGCTCTCAGTAAATACTGAAGGTACGCGAAGCCCACAAATGTTTTTTTTTTTTTTTTTGCATCGCCATGCCTCTGGACTGACCTCGAGTGAACGAACTTTTACTGGAACTGGGGGCAGCATAAGCACAACAAGCGAGAACAGCCTTCTGTGAACGAAAAGAAAAAGAAAAAGACGGGGGGGGGGGGGGCTCTCAAAAAAAAGAAAGAAAAGCTGCTGTGGAAAGTTGTCCTGCATATTTTCGCAATTTGTTGGCTTTTTCTCGGCGGTGGCCTTGGAGACAGACAGTGCAAGAAGCTCGGTATCTGTGTGTCTGGTTGGGCTGATGGATTTCACGTGTTTCCTACATCCTCGAGCGACCGTGCTCTTCCGAGCGCCTCCGAACCTGCACCTCGCGTATATCTCACTTCCGAGCCGAATCGCGAGGATCTACCAGTGGTAACAAAATCAATCTGGTGTCATCGTCCGTGCTTATCTACTAGAGAAGCAATAAGCAAAATGCTTCACTCTGTCATCGGCACCGAGCCGCGGCCGCCAGTGACCAGTGGGAGTGTGTCGCCGGGGCAAGTGAAAAAAGTATCGCATATATTTTTTTCCACAGTACTAGTAGGCGATGTCTGCATGAGTAAAGTGCTGCCCGAATTGCCCACCTCATGCACCAGCTGTTCTCAAACATGTAGCACGAAGCCGATAAAGAGGCAGACGGAACCAACAAGCGGCGGCCGGTGAGCACGAAGAAAACCCGGACCTGCCCGGACGGTGGTCTTTGGTTGGAAGTTTGCATACACCGCCTACGTCCCCGTAAGATAGTGGTCACGTGTTCATTTGTGTCAAAAATTACGACGAAATTCGCACAGGATATGTGTTCTGTGATCGCCAGCTGTGTTTCATCGGATAGCCGTGCTCCTCGAAAAGGCCTAGAACGCCGTCGGTAAGCAGCTTGTATGCTGGCGTGGACCGCTCTTCTACGCCCGTTGTGATGAATACGTGCTGCTACTGTGTTTCTGCACCATCGCTCAATGAAAATAATTGAGCTACCATGGTTTGTGCGTACTTAGGTATACTTTATGAACTTGTGCATCAGCAGTGCTAACACGCGTGGGGCCATGAGCCAGGTGTGCCAAGTAATTATTGAATAATCAAAAAGATGAGATCGTGTAGATTTATAATAAAAGGTCGGTGGGACATTTAGTGCCATGCAGCCCACCTTAAGATTACGCTTGCACCTTTAAGCGTTGTTGTTAATCGATGCAAAAAAAGAGCTCTCCTACCGGTACTACACGGTCGGTCAAAAATTCGTGCCTATATATGCCGGATTGTCGAAGTGTAGTCGAGCAACGCGTGCAGTCTGTTCTAGTGGTGTATTATTCTGCATTTGTTGTGTGTGCGTGTTTGTCTGTATGTGAATCTATGTGTCACCAATTCTGCCGTTCAATAAATTCAATCAATTCTGCTATTAATACATTTGTCGACTCTGGGCGAATGCACCCGTCAATTTTTATTTTTTCATTACCAGAAATAACTCCCAGAAATCACCTCAAAAACCTTGTTAAGGCAGTGAAAAGTTTACTCTCTCAATACTCGCTGAAAACCTCACTGGGGTAAATAATTACTACTCTCCATACGTTCAAAAACCTAGTTAGCACGAGAGTATATTTTTACCTCGGTAGTAGGTGGTAAAAAAAAACAGGAAAGGTAGTGCACTAGAGGACAAATGGTTTACCCAGTTTTTGAGGTTATTTCAGGTCATTTTCGTTTAGTGTGCTGGATCTACCCATTTCTTTTTCTTTAGGATGTATTCGCGAGAAACCTGACGGAATCATCGCTTACGGCAAGTACAGCTGGCACTATTGTTACACCCGCCATGTCGATCTCCTCCCTTGTGCCTTGAAGGTCCAGGATGCCGAGGTGGTTGATGTTGTTGCGTTTCTGTAAGTCTTTCAAAGTGTCCTGGACTACCAAGTCGCTGAACGTGTCATTTTTGAGCATCCTGCGATAAACAATGAATCGTGCAATTGGAAAATAGGTTTCACTGCAAATGCATATAAATGAATACGATAACAACAAGTCCTAGGAATATACGAGCTAAGACTAGCGTTCAACTCTTCGAATAATAGTGCTTTACAACCTAAAAATAAATATAACCTCCACCTTCCACCGTAACTCTCTCACTCCGACTAAGTTTCAATAAGTGGCTATCGCCTCGGAGCATATTAAAGCCTGCATATTAAAGCATGCTTAAGCATTGGAGCATGTTCACTTGAATGAACTTGTTTTTAAAGACGATAGTCTTTCTTGGGGACCTTCGACGCAAAAATTATGGTCTGCCTGTCTGTCTGTCCTTTGTCTCATTGTCCTCTCAACGCCATCGGGTACTTGAAAAGGCCGACCACATGCGCAGCACTCACCAATTTTGCTCAAGATTCTGCGTTCATGCCTGTGAAATCGTAAATAAAAATCAATTATTGCGCATGTCTGGGGCACCATAACAGCACGTAACAATATTCTGCATGTGTGTCTTTTACTAAAAAGGCATACATAAGTAATTTTAAGGATCGTAGAGCTTATCACGCTGCGCTGACCATGCAACGCTTGCACGGAAAGGCGAGTGTTTCCAGTGCTTTGCTAAGACGAGACTGTGGTGGCCCCTACCCGTCACCTTGCGTTCTGCATCTTATCACCTCTGAGACGAGTAAGCACACACGTCTCAGAGCCACGCGCTTTGTTTTCTAAAAAAACTGCCAGATGGCGCTCATATCTCACGTGTGACGTGACTTGATACGCTCGTTCGCCTCCGCATGCAAGGTCGAGGCACTCTAACGCAGCGCCTCCAAAATACCATTCACCTAATTTTATCGCGCAGAATATCAACCAAATATCTTGTTCACTCTCTCCACACACAAGACTATCGTTTTTCGACGACATTTGCAGCTTAACATACATATACTGGGCCAATTTTTTCTCTGTCGTCCGTGTTTTGAAGATCCGTGGTTTCATTACACAGACCCATGATGGTGCCCCTGATTCTCTACCACTCCGACAAAGTTTACGCAGGTCGCCATCGCCTTGGAGCATTTTAGGAGATCATGATTAATGTGTGTAGAAAAAGTACTGGACAATTTCGAGTACTTCATACTGAACTATAGAATAGCAGTCAGCCTTCCCTTAAATCCCTGGAATTGTGTTTAGAAAAAGTTACTAACGATTTAGAGTACTCCGCACTCAATTATCAGACAGCATATTGCCGCCCCGTAGCCATTAAAAAGCAGCAGCACGCACATTTTACTATAACAAGATTTTCTTCCAGCCATTCGTCACCTTCATATCAGTGAATTTATTATAGAGACCCTTAATGTTGCTCTTGGTTTTCGGTCAAAAAGCGTTAACTTCCTGCGCAACTTCAGTGAAATATTTCAACGTTACTTTCTGTCAAACGTAATGTTTTAAGTAGAGACGTCAAACTTTATTTAGTACTGCGTGTGGTATTTGTGTTAGCAGCCAGAAAGTACTTGGCGGCAACGAAAACGACGTAGCCAAACTCTCTCGAACTGATGAATGGCGGGTGAGCTGCAGTTCTGGGGTAGGCGCTCGTATTTATTTTAGTGGCGAAGCTCCTTAAAGCGGCACCCGTTCGCCCCTCGTCGTAGTCGTAGTGCATAACCAGTCTTACGCTTTCACCTGCAAGGTGGTGCTGGTGGGAGATTTCTCCTGTGCGTTCTTCAACAATAAAAAATTCGCAGCGTGAGGCCGAATTCTCCTATCTAAAAGCCGAATTCTCCTGTCTCTCATTCCCAATTAGCAGCCATTGCCATGTACACTGAGCACTATCTGACAAGAAAGGGTTGCTAGGTTATACTTGCTGGGCATAACCTCCTTTGTTTTAGAAAGGTTTAGCGAGCGTTGGGCCGCAGTGCCATGAATACAGTGAACTAGTATATACCATGAACTCAAGGTGGTTAAAGGTGGGAGATAGACAAGAAGCGCACGCCGTAAGAAAGTGCACATGTGCGTGTGCCACCTCTCGTTTAGTCCTTGAAATGTCCGCTGGATGGCGGTGCTTCTATATGCGCATTTATAGAGTGGGCCGTTTCAGAGTGGGCATTACGCATTTTCAGAGTGAGCCATTTCTTGGAGAGCACTTTCTCGAGAGTCTTCTCGATGAGCTCCGTATCTGTCCTGTTCCCTTGCCCACCCTTCCCGTGGTTTGACAGCCGATGTCGTGTCGGTTCCCAGCTCCGATACGAGGGTCCAGGAGGGCCTTTGCAGAGGATTTCACCGAGGCATGGCGTCTTGGTTTTTGTTGCCCCTTTTCCCCGTAGATAGGGGTACCCCAAGGCCTAAAAAAGGAGCCGCCTCTCTGCCTATGACTCAGCCGACTTCCATTGCTGTCGTCTCGTTAAGTGTAGTCCTTCGTTTTGGAAACGAGTCGACAGCACCACTTTATCCTGGTCCAGAAATTGATTTCCCGTCCTCCGGCACTATTCATTGATTTTGGCATTGGCAAGAAATGGTGCCGGAGGACGGGAGGACAGGCGCCGAGAACAGCAGTGGCAGCGATAGGACAGACTGTGCCGACCATATGTGGATGAAGGGCGACATGATGGGGATACTATCGGCAGTGTGTGTGGTGTATATGGCTGTCCAGGGCGCACACTATGCGGAAAACGAGTGGCTGTTGGAGTGTGTTCTTGAAGACGTGGAGCGCCTTGCAGGCTGCAGAGAAGTTCTCATTCTGGGCGACTTCAATTACCATATTTCCGAGTTGGATGGATATACAGACGTGAATGGCAAACTGATCATCCAACTGTCAGAAAATGTCCAGCTGGAAATCTTGAACAATAGTCCGCGTTGCGAGGGTCAAACCACTTGCTGGGCTCGAAGAAGCGCCACATCTATCGACTACGCTTTGGCGTCCGATGGACTGGTAAAGTCCTTCAGCGACATTCACATAATGTGGAGGGCACCACAAGCATCGGGAGCGATCACAATCGACTTTGGCTGGATTTCTCTAAAGCCTATCACCGAGGGCCAAATACAGAACGAAGGGTGACTCCTACTAGGTACCTGCCGGGTGACTCACTTCAAACAGTGGCGGAGAAATGTTAGGCGAGCCCGAAAAAAGAAGAAGCTAAGACATACGAAGAGCATGTGTCAAAGCTATGTCGCATCATGGAAATTCATAAGGTTTTTGACGGCACAAGACCTGCACGCCACCACAGAAAACCCTTGTGGGACAAAGAAGTTGCCGCAGCATGACATGTCCGGCGGGAAGCCAATCGCTCCCATCGTCGAGCAGTCAAAACCAAGGACTGCTGTACAAACTGACGTCCTGTGGCAGCGCTACCTTCAGTTCAAGCGCTGACATGCAGGCCCTAGTGCAGGGTAAACTTGCCAGGCTCAATGCATTGTTCCTGCAGAAGGTGAAGGCAGAGAGCAGTAACGCGGCCCATAAATTCTGGAATTACGTTCGAACAATGGACCGTAGTGAGCAGACTATACAGTTCATTGTGAACAGCAACGGCAACCCTACCCAGGACACGAAGGACGCCTTTACGAGGGCACCTGGAGGCTCTGTAATTGTTGAAGTGGGTGCGCGAGGACCTCCAGTTAGATGAAAGAGACCCAAAGTGTGGTGAAGAGAGGACTGCACAGGGTTTCGCAGAGGAAGGAGCCCTAAAATGAGAATTCAGTCATATCTCTATTGACCGTGCTTTGTCCCATCTCCGAGCCCAAACAGCCTCGGGGCCAGATGGCATGCCATCTCGCTTACTTCAGTGCTTGGGGCAGGAGGCGAAAGAACAGCTAGCTGTCCTGTTCAGCGATATCGTTGTGGGAGCAGTCATTCCAGACAACTGGCATCGGGGCAGAGTCTCAGCTCATCATCAAGCATGGAGGCAGGGCAGGGAACCTTCAATGATTACCGACCACTCCCAGTCACCAGCACCATGTACAGGATCTTTACCCATGTGCCTAAGGACTGGATCAGTGGCTGGGCTGAAGTCTAAAAAGCTGGCTGACAGAACTGCAGAACAGTTTTCGCAGAGGTCGACGACTTGAGGATAACCTTTTCTTTCTCACACAGTGTGCGTAGATCACCAAAAATGAACGGGTGTACGCTTTTATGCTGCTTCATGAATGTGGAGAAAGCTTACGACAACGTCCCGCATGACATCCTGTTCACACACCTTGAGACAATGGAAATACCGAAAGAGCTGTTGGCGACAGTCAGGGCACCTATACGCCGGCAATAGCGTCATTGCACAGTTCGCCAATGTAGAGAGTCGGCCAGTAGGCGTCTGCAGAGGTCTCTGTCAGGGACGTCCGCTTTCGCTGGATTCTATATCTGCTATACGGGTCGGGCATGGAACAAGCATTGCTCGAGTCCGGCCTGGGGTTCCGTCTGAAGTATAGCACAAGCGAAATCGGCGAAAATCGATGTCTGCCTGGCTTGACATTTGCGGATGATGTGGTCCTAATGGCAGAGACCAAAGTGGACCAGCAGGCTCTCCTGGACATCTGTGCCGCAGAGACGACTGAGCTGGGACTACGCTTCAACGCCAAGAAGAAAATCAAGGCTGTACCGTTCGCGGGTAACATGGCTGAGGCGGCAGACCTCAGGCTAGGAGGTGAGAGCATCGCCACTGACACTGCGTATAAGTACTTAGGCGTGCTACTGTGTTCCGAGGGCAGTATATACGGCTGGCAAGATGTCCACGTTCACGAAGTCATGCTGCGGGCACAGTGCAACCTCCGGTGCCGCATATTGTGGGGCTGCAACCATTTCATGATGGTCCAGGATCTATGGAAACTCATTCATGTCCCCTGCTTGACGTTCGCAAATGCAGTAGTCTGCATGATAGCAGCAACTAGGGAATGGTTAGAGCGGCAACAGCGAGAAGTAGGCCGCACGGCGCTCGCATGCCGTGGAAGGGTGGCAAATGAGGCAGTCCAGAGGGACATGGGCTGGTCTCGTTTTGAAGCTCAGGAGGT